TTTCAAATATGCAATTAATATCGCTTTGTAATTGTAACAACGTCGTTATAAATCTAGTTGAAGCGTCTTTGCCTCTATAAGTCTCTTGATACACATTTTTAGCGTCGCATCGAACGACAACTAGCGAATAACCGCTAGCTTTGTGAACGTTAATCTTTTTTGTGTTTGTCTCTTTGTCTGAGTGAGTAGGTTTAGATGTTAGTGTTTGTAATATGGATTCAAAGTCGGCATAAATGACAAATGGTGCTTTTTGTTTGTGCCTATAGTTTTTAAATTCTAATATCGGTACGTCTCTCTCTTCACTTGGTTGCCCGTCTATGTATTTTGGTTTACCCAGAGGAAATACAATCTTTGATGGATGTGTATCTATACCCTTACAATCGGTGATATGTTTGTCTAATTTGTTTTGATTGGTAAAATGACAAAGACATCTTCGACAAAAATATTTCTTACATTTATGTTTCGTAACGTCGTACATCAACCTCGTAAAATATTTTATCCAACAATAGTGATGCTTGTCACCTTTAGAAATCAAAAGCAGATCAATCTCTCGTGACCCATAGTTTTTAGACACGTATAATGGATATATCTCACCCTCATAACCGTATACGTTTATCGAAAAATTATTTTGTCTTTCTATCTTGGGTATCTGATCGACCGGTGTCGGAAAGTCAACGCCTTTAAAACTGAGTCCGTCGTCTTTGGTGTAAATCGACGGTCTGCTTTCGTTGATTTTATATTTAGGATTATTTCTTATTTGATTTTTTACTTTGTCCGTGTATAACCCCAAGGCAGATCTCAAACACCATCTCAAACACTCGTCGTCTTTGTTTTGTACGTTGATCATCGCCTGTTTAATTTTAAGATGTTCGGGTAGGTTTATGTAAGAACTACCTCTCGCTGGATTATATCTGTTGATGTTGATGTATAACGCGAGTATTGTATCGACTGCCCAACCCGATCCTTGATTCGTATACCTTTCATCCTTTTTGAATAGCTCTTCGATCTCCTCTTTTAAAACCTGTTTTATTTGACTTTGATTTAAAACGGCTTTCGGTTTGCTATAATGAATAGCTTCGATCGTTTCGATTGTACCATCCGGTTTGATTTTTCGATACCTTATTTTTAATACAAGCTCTACTTTTAAACCTCTGAGCTCTCTCAATTCAGACTTGATTTTATTGACTATTTGTTCCTTGTGCGAATCAAAAAACTTGATTAAATCGTGGTTATAAAGTCTGGGATTTAATTCCCAGTTTCTGTAGTAATTTCTAAACCTTCTCGTTTCTCTAAAAGCTGACTCTGTAAAGTATTCGGGTTGTCTGTATGTTTTAATCGCCGAGATTAAATCTTTTTTCAAAACTCGTCCTTTATAACCCGTCGGTACGTATTCTAGATTTTGTTCGTCTACAATCTGTTTGAGCTCATAAAGTTTCTTTTTCCTCAAGTTTTTAAATTTACTTTCATAATGTTTTATCCCCTCGATGTAGACTTTACGAGTAAGAGAAACATTTTCATTGTGCGGTATATTATACCGCTGCACGTAATCACGCAGCGTGGCTTTGTTCCATTTAGAATATCCTTTGACGGTCGGTCTAAACATATTACTCTCCATTTTATTATAAGAAATATAATATTTTTTTTCTCATTTTTTTTTGGAGGGCGATCAATTATTTCATAAACCATGAGAGCTTGACTGTAGTAAAAATTCCGAAGGTCACGTGGTGGTGACTCAAACATTTTTCAAGGTCGCGTTGTTTACGCCAAATTTTTATCGTGCCTCAACACGTTTCAAGGTCACGTGGTGGTGACTCACACATTTTTCAAAGTCACGTGGTGGTGACATCATCTCATTTTAGCGACGTCAGATTTTTTTTTTTTTTTTTTTCTCCCGACGTCAGAGATATATATTTTTTTTTCTCTCTCTCTCTCGGCGTCAGGATTTTTTTTTTTTTTTTTTTTTTTTCTCCCGGCGTCAGAGATATTTTTTTTCTCTCTCTCTCTCTCGGCGTCAGGATTTTTTTTTTTTTTTTTTTTTTTTTTTTCTCCCGGCGTCAGAGCGAGATATTTTTTTCTCTCTCTCTCTCTCTCTCTCTCGGCGTCAGGATTTTTTTTTTTTTTTTTTTTTTTTTTTTTTCTCCCCCACACCCGGCGTCAGATTTTTTTTTTTGAGATCGGGGGATTCCCCTATATTTTTCCCCAACTATTTTTAGAATCGAGAGCGGCGTGCTTAGGCTTGCCGCAGATTTTTTCCATTTTGCTCCGGTTCCCCCACCTCCCCTACTACTCAAGTGCCGGTGTCATATGAAAATCCGACTCCTATGAAAATCCGACTCCTTTTCCCCATGGCATTGGTTAATCCCTCGCACGTGACAGGTGACTCTCCCATTATGATCCTAAAAATAGCATATTATCGAACTTATGCATGCGCAATACTACCAAAGAGTCCATATCTGATGGAGTCGGATATTCACGCTACACCTGCCCTCTTATATACGACAAACAGGGTGACCGTTTTAGCCGATTTTCGGCTAACTTTGACAGAATTTTTGTTTAAAAACGAGTTTGACAAAAAATTTGACAGAATGGATTTTTGTGGCAGATTTCTGGCAGAATTCTGCAAAAATGGTTACTTGACAGAAAAACAGCAAATTTGAACCAAAAAATGGTACATTTGTTTTAAAAAGGCTTCAATCTTTTCAAACAAACCCTGGCATAACTGGTCTAGGTGCCGAGGTTCAATGGGAAATGGACTTTGTCGTGGCCCGATCTGCCGGCGCGTTTTGCCCGAAATTTACGAATAACTTCATAACATCTTTATGTGACTATAGATTATTTATAATGTAATTTGAACCTTAATTAAGGCAATACTACCAATCTGCATGTAGTTTTAAGTGTTTATAGTGTATTTCGAGTAATTCTGGGGGATTTGGCAGATTTTTTTTATGAATCTGACAGATTTTTGATGCGCATTTAGCAGAATTTGGCTGTGACCTTACGGTCACCCGGACGACAATCCATTAACAGCAAGACGTATACGGAGGCTGACGCGGGCCGGTGCCTGCCCTCTTACGTCAAACCATAACGGCAAGACGGCACAGAGCCTGAATCGGGCCAGTGCTGGTCCTTCAGAAAGATGATACATGGCCTGAAGGGGTCCACTCCTTGTAAAACCATTTTCGGCAAGATGGTTTGCAGCCCTAATCGGACCAGTACTTTCCCCTTTTAAGATGGTACATAGGGCCAGCGGCGTCTACCTCCACAAAACCCATAACGAATACCGAGCCACTATCAGGTCATTGCTAGTTCTTGTACAATTCCTCGTCTTTATCGTTGAATATTTAACCCTAGTGGTATTTAAAAGTTGTCGACATTTCGTCCCAATAACTTCAACTTTAGTCATGGAGGAATCCATGCTTTAATCCAACCTCATGTATTTAACTCTTTTTTTCACTTCAAATAACAGGTAAGAATTTGGTGTTTTAAATTCATAAAATTGTGTAGGCCTACTGATGCTCCTCAGACAAAATCTGGATTTTATGAGCAGCATTTTTCGAAAAACAAATAACCAGTCGATCATGACTGATCATGGAATACGTTTTTCTACGAGTATTTTGAAGGGCTCGTTAATTCATTGAGGTAGTCTATACCTCATATTCATTGCTTAAATATGAAAACCTTGAAATGTAATGATGATCGTTCGTGGGGCGACCGTAACTATTCATGGACGAATCGCTCATAATTGTTGCCAACAGAGGGCGCTAATGCCGGCCACTATCCAACCCAGAGCCGTATATTAACCGGGCGTGTTCTTATTTTACTTCTCCGTCATTATGCAGGTCTATTTGTCGCGATAGTCCATATTTAGCTTCTGTTTAAGTGCCTTCACCACCGATCTGTAGGCAGTGTACTATACTATATCAAAGTCCGTCATATTCGCGCTGAGTAAGAAGAAAAGTGACATAATGATTTGTGTTTAACATAATCCTATAAAACAGCAATAAACATCGTTCTCTGTTTAGTTTGTGGGATCAAAAATACGCATGATATTTTGTTTGGGTTGTGCATTAAATAAAACTGTATTTCGCAACTTTCGTCAGTCATTTACTGCCATACGAAACACTCCCAGATGAATTTTCTGGGGTTTTGAATTTACTGCGCACTAACAATCCTCCCAAATAATTCCAGTCTACACTGAATCTGGCGCTTATCCATTTTTGCCACGACCTTGCCGATTTGAATGGGGAAAAAACACTTGCACACAGCCGTGTTTATACGTATATCTGAAAACTGACATGGGTGGAGTATAATTCTAGCCCTTTCAAATGAACTCAGTGATGCGTAGCCCAAGTGACAACCCAATATTATACTTTCTCATTGAAGCACAAACAGGTTTGGTAGGCAAACATACGGCTTTTCAAAAGGACCTCTTATAATACTTGTGTATATTGTTGGGATTCTTATGCGCTAGGCCTGAGGTCAACCTTTCACCTTTCGTAGCACGTCACAGACACTGCTGGATAAGCCTGCCACAAAAATAATCATTCAAAGTTCAGATCACAGCGCCTTTTAGACTTTAATGCCTTAGGCCCTTTCTGCAATGTACAATGTTTGGAATAAATACGTGAACACAAAACCAAACATACTGTGCCTATGAATAGCATTGGATGTTTATATCTCTTGGTCACCTGTTTTTGGCTTTTCCGCCAGGAGCTTCCACGTGTCACTTGGTGTTCTATTCAGTTGGTCGGTCACTGTCTGTCCCCGAAAATTGACCCAAAATTTGACCAAAAAGAAATATGACCAAAAATAATTGGACCCAAATTAATTTGACTCAAAACAACTGACCCAGAACAATTGACCCAAAACAAATGACCCAAAACAATTGACCAAAAAAAACCATAGGCCTATGCCACGCTGTAATCATTCAGAACACCGATATTGTTTCAATCGATGCGCATGCGCGATTATGTCCATCCTCGAAAATTGTCCTCCGGGGTACGAGCGAACACTCGCACCTGTATTATTGAGCAAGGTTACCTTTCCCTTGTCTTAATTTTGTGAACAAAAATAGGCCACTTGGTGTTTCCCATAGATGTATCCACTTCAAATAGAGCCCCCTACTGTGTCCGCCATTTTTCAAAAAAATGCTATATAATAAGGCTGTTGTAAAACGAGTGATACATGCTATGCAAAATATCGTGCTGAAATCAGCATCACGTGATCGCAATATCCATTTTGAAAAAGACAAGTTGTGCAGCATGCAGGCCTAGCTACCACATGCACAGGCGGAACGCATATATCACCTAAGGTAATCTTCGATAAGACAATGTGTCTTGTTTGCACTAGCCATCTGCACAGTTTGCAAAGATGATGTAAAGGCCGTTCACGCTTTCAACACTGAGTGCAAAAAAGGTAACAGGTATACACAAAGGTGTGTTGCTGTGAAAGGCAGCCGGATCGATCATGGCGCCTACGAGAACCGGACAGTCCTCCACCGCCCAGCTCTCCGTGGCCCGTTGGGTAGCGCAGCGGCTCGGCGGCTTGACCTGCCGGTGCCTGCTCCGCAACAAATTCTTCCTGCTTGCCTTGGCGGTGTTCGGCATGACGCTGGTGCTGTTACGGAGCAGCATCGTCGACGTCGCTGACGAGGCTGGCGACGGGTTCCCGGTGTGGAGGGAGCGGGGGATGGACGCTCGAGTCACGCCGATCTCTCAGGACATTCACGGCGTCAGAAATGAATCGAAGATTAAGATTGTCATCACCTCAGCACCCGTCAACGACTCGCAGTAAGTTATATTATTCCTTTGTTGCTCCACTGTATATGAAAAACAGTGGCTAATTATGTTAATTTGAAGTCGACTCAGTTTTAAAAATCACCAAAATCCATCAAATGATTCTTTACAAATGCTTTGTCGTCGAGTTTTTGGAGACAAAACTGTGGAGACAGATTCTTTATAGACACTCTTTCATGACAATTGTAGTTTTCCTCGACAGTTTTTGTGATTAATTTGAATGAAATTACATTTGTAATGAAATTCACATCTTTTTGAGATTTCATAGAGAAGACAAAAACCAACTGGAACCGTCCAGCAGTGTATTATGTTCAATCTGTAGATATTAAATCTAAATAAACAAACAAACAAACAATTAAATCAAATTATTTATTTTTTTCGACCTATAATCAATTTTCCATCAGAGCCATTTCCCCCATAAATTATTAGGGTAGGGGCTGTCAGAATAGTGAAGGTAGGGAAACTGGAAGCAGAACTAATTTTGGGGGCCTAACCTCAAGCATGCTATACAAACATACAATTTCAAAGCACCTGACATAATTTTGTTTAGCCCTATGGAGGTGATAATTATTTTTTGGGAGTTGAACAACCCCACTTCAGAAGCAGCAATAACCTCTAAAAACTGTTTAAGTTTGCTTGGTGTTAAAAGCAAGGATCCCTTGCATTATTTTGTCCTAAAAGTTAATCTACCGAATTGCATGTTTTATCCAAAAGCTATAACTTGGATTAAAGATCCTTACTGGTACTAAACACCCCGTGAAATTATTCCATCTGGCTTGCTAGTCATTTAGAAGAAAATAAAGAAATGTACGTGGTTCCAACGATATCAGTCAATATTGACTGAGTTTTGGAAATAAAGAGTGTTATAGCAAAATGTAATCATGTGTTTCGTGGAGAAAGGGTCGGGCAAGGTGTTCACTGTTTTCTCCAAAAGTGTATTATTAACTGAGCTGAAACTTCAACAGGTTAAAGTTTTGATATCTGTGGTGGTGTTATTGAAAACGACACAAAATGCATGAAAAAGCAAATAATCATGTAGGCCCTGTGCCTTTAAGTTCCTAACCAGCTGAGATTTTGATGGTGAAGTGTGTCACAACATTTAAAAAAAAAATCTGCATGCTTGACATGGCCATGATCTCTACGTTTTGTCTGTAAATCTCAACAGTGCAACAACAGAATCCATTTTTTGATCATCCAAAGCTTTGGAAAACCACAACAAAACAGCAGCACACATGACCTCCAAAGCGAAACGCATAAATACACACAAACATATCTGCACAATAACATATTGTGATGTAAATTCCAAGCGCGGGGACACCGTGCATGACTATACTCGTTTGCTGCGGCAACAGACTCACGATGAGAAAAAGGCACGCCAATCTTTCGAGAATGTAATTTTCTGTTATAAGGATAATTTAGTCATTTACCAACATGCTGATCACACAGTTGTTCCGGGCTTATCTTAAATTGTATTGAGATTGAGATTAAAATTTCAGTATCCGGTTTAATTCACCCGACATTTAAGCACCATGTGCACGATCATCGATCTGATACACCGTGCCCTTTGGAAACTGGAGACATGCACACAATAAGGAACAAAAGATTGTATACGTCTCCACAGGGCAATTTATATAGATGAATACGTCTCCACAAGGATTTCACGAAATACATATATGGATTTTACTCAAAAACTAGGAATTTCCAAGGTATGTTGATCGGTCGCAAATGGTAGAGTTTTAGAAAAGGGATATTAACTCCGAATTTCAGCTTTAAAAATTAAATCTGGTTAAAATAAGAGCATTTTTAAACTGTGCTTTCAAACTCGAAAACTTTAGTACACGAAAAAAAGAAATGTCATCACACGGATACAAATTTTAGTATGTGTGTTTGCAAATGTGTACCACCTATATATAGGCCTACTTTCGGTTTTGTCAGTCTTTCTGTGCTCTTTTAGTTTACAATGTTCATGAATGATGATCTCTCTTCAAACACTGACCTCTTAACAATGGCCTCTGTTCTGGCGCTGTGGTCCAAATTGGTTTACACGGTGCTGGACTCATGTGCCGTGGTATATGAGGGTTCGAACCCTGGCGGGGAACGTGGTGCTTGTGTTCTTGGGCAAGACACTTTACTACAATGGCCTCTCTCCACCCAGGGGTCTAAATGGGTACATGTGAAGATATACGGTTAGAGAACTCAAGCTGCGCTGCAGAAAAATGGACTCACTCCTGATGAAAGGAGATAATACTTGCAAAGTGCTTTGAACCTTAGTTATAAAGCGCTATACAAGTAAGCACCACATTACCCGTACTACATGTATTATAACTGCATGTATAGGAAATGCTTTCAAAACAATGTTAAAGCGGACGACCAGGATAACATTTAGACTGGTGTCATAGGTCCTTTCTTTCCATACGTTGTTTCCTTCAATAGTGATTTTTTCCAGCTTATACAGGGTGATTCAAAAAGAGAGTGACTCGAATTAATGATTTTTTTCCTTAAAAAGCAATCAAATTTGAAACACCGATGAAGTAGGTCTTAAAAGAGCATCCTCTTCCACTCATCTCAAAAAATGAAATACTGAAATTGATCCATGCTATCAGGAGTTATGAACGTTTTACTATAGGTTTTCCCGGACAATTTCGGAAAATGTGCGTTTGAATTTGTAAAACATAAATTCAATTTGGCGCCGAGTTTGAGAACGACGTTCATCCTGGTTTCATTTTCGCAATAACTAGCATTCTATTTCATTTTGCATCAATCAAATAAATGAATGTGCATAACGTTTCATTTAAGGGATTACAAATACGTGATTAGGTTTTCGGTTTGACGTATGCGTTGCCGATTATTACGAATGTGCAATCCAATTCGCAGAAAAATCGATTGTCTATTGTGACACAAGCTGAATTGAACATTCTTTTTCATTTGTTACAATTTAAATTCGCATTTTCTGCATTCAATTTAAATAAATTATGCAGGCCTATACAAATCATGATACAACTTTGATTTATTAATTAATGATTCATTAATTAATCAATGTATGCCTTATTGATCATTAATGTGTTTGTTGTTATATACACAAAGGCCTATGTGAAATGTAGGCAAATGAAATGTGAAAATGATATTAATATGACCAATATGAAATCACTCAAAATAATCTTGTAGCCATATTATTGAGACGGTAAAGGGACACATCACGTGTCATGTTACATGGGTTCTGCATGGGGACTTTTTGAATATTCAAAAATTCAATCATTCAATCAACCATTCCTCAACTGTTACTTTAACACATAAATGAATTCCAATGCTTGACCAGGCATACGTTAAATAACACTGCGAGGGAAATCGGCTGCACATTTAGCGAAAAAAGATTGATGATCAATTAAAAGGAAAACAGGATTGCGGATGTGCCTTCGATTTCGCGCTAAAATGAAATGTCAATACACTAAATGCAGTGCACTTTCGGGAAATCGTACGCTGATTTTTATGTGACTGAATGCACTTTCACGGAAAAAGAATTATCATTCGTTAAATAAAAACAGAGATTTGGAACGTTCATTCTATTCCGCACGAAAACGAATGCTTCTTTTACAAAGTCGTGTACACATTTTCCGAAAATTGTCCAGGAAAACCTATATTACATCCTAAAGATGCGCGCATTTACCTTGTCTCCAGATATCATCCAATGGTCTCGCCAAACCTTAGTATCGATTCACCATGTTGCTTACTGGTACAGTTACCCTAATAAAAACCTTATGGGAAAATCATGTGAACAAAGATAACATTGTGATATAAAATAGCTATGTTACCAACTTCTACTCGAAAATGCCTCTTCTTGCCCCAAATGAGCCTTTTTTTTATAATATCGCCTAGTCTAGTCAAGAACAGTGCTGATGTACAAATAGATTTTTATTCACGTCGGCCATAGTCAATTGAAAGTGAGGTAATCTTCATTGTTGGAACTTGCGAGTGGAAATGAAATGAAATAAAAGTTTATTACAAAGCAACACCAGTCTGCTCTGATGACCAATTTAAACTTTGTGATTAAACATACCCTAATGTTTTAAAGGGAAGATACAACATTTGCAAACTTCAAAAAACGAAATAATCAAATTATCACGAAATATCTTACTGGATTGTTAGGGAATGACATTCTAAAGCATCCTGTAAAGTTGGGGCTCCTGGTGTGCTGACATATTCAAGAAAAACTGCATTTTTCCAACACTGGTCGGCCGACCAGCGTTGGAGAAAACTGGGTTTTTTTTCAAAAAGTGGCTCCGAATTTTTCATATTTAGTTCGTCTGTAGTTTCTTTGCAATTGATTACACACCTGTGAAGACTACAAGCATGCTAGACTGATTCTCAGACCTTACAATTCCCCAAAGTTGAAAATTGCAACAAAAGCAAATGTTGTACATTCCCTTTAAGCCACATTTGAAAAAAGAATGAAAGTGAGGTTTGGAACGCCTTCCAATCATAAAATATTACCTACTGAGGCTAATGTCTCCCAAAACCTTGTTTTGAGTAATCGGCGCCTAATACGTAAAAAGTCATGTCAAAATCTTCTTTTTTTTTCGAGGGGGGGGGGTATTTTTGAGTAGCCAAGGCCCTGCATTTTGGTTGTGAAAAAGAAATACCCCAAGAGTGAAAACATTTCTGAAGTGTGTTTGTGTGACGTTTTTCAAAAATCGTCAGCAATTTTCTTGTGAACAACAAATAATGAGACAGTCTGGCACCATCCCATTCAACTGTTTACAACTTTAAAATAGATTCAGGAACACGATCGAAACCTGCTTTCCTCATGAATAAGGTATATTGTTGGAATACTATAGGGGTTTTGTTTAATGTTTCACTAGCCCGCATGCGATTTTTTTTTCTCCCAAACGACATCCGCAAATGTTTGATGCTATGGCGTTTTGGACTTTACTTTTCTAAAAACATGAGAAGAAAATAAAAATTACAAAAAAGGAAATGAATTCGAACGTAATGAAATT